CTCATGAATCCGCAACAGAGGTGTCCTGATCTGGGTTTCTCGACTAACCGAAAGATGAAATGCATGGTAATTAGCAGAAAGCAGACAAATGTATGTCAGGCGCCTGATACCGAAGTTGAGGAGCAAGTACAAGAATATGTCTATCTTGGGAGCAGATTGCATGCAAATGGACGAGTGACAAACGAAGTTAAGACGAGTTCTGAATTGGCGTTAACGCGAACAACAACGTCACTCAATTTTTGGAAAAACAAAAGCGGTGGCAACAGCGCAAAGCTAAGCTTGCATTCTGAACACCTTGTTCCATGGCCTCGAAAAGGCAGCACTTAACAAAGCCGAAGACAGAAAACTGGATGGGACGGAAATAAAGAACTTAACATCAACGGCAACAACGGCGTGAACTAGTGTCAAACGCTGAGAGATTAGAATATTAAACTGAAATGACCGATTGGGTCAGAAAAACTGTTTATAATAGCGGGACCATCTTCTGCGAACAAAAGATAACCGCTAGGGAGAGCTGTTACTGAACGTAAAGCCAGTTGGAAAAGACCGCCAGAAGGACCTTTGAAAAATTGGAAAGATTTCGTCAGAACTGACATGACAGTGAAAAGAATGAAGAGCAAGCACGTATTCATTCCATTAGGTAAGACACTTGCGCAGTATTCGGAGTCGCTTTTCAAGTAATGGGATCTGCGGAAAAAGAATATTCCTTATACTGGTCGTACACCTTCCTCTTCATGATGACTCGTAATGATTCCATGGTTACTGCTATAAACAAGAGATCGATGTTTAGTTCCCTATTTATGAAACTCGGAGAATCTCACCAAAACAACAGTGTAGATCATCAGGGCAAACGAATAAGTGAACTGATGCAGCCGAATAGAAGCATTAACTATTTGATTAAGAAAAATCAATTAATCTAATGCTGGCTCTGCCATTGCACATATGCTTCTATTCACAGCTATATACAGTAATTTCACCTTATTTCTGATAATCGACTATGGCTATATTGCTTTCGTCAGGTACATGGCGACTGTCAAGAAAGCAGTCAACGAACCGCTGTTTCAAACGGTGAATAGGAAGGACTCTATCATGTTACCTAATATTTCTTTTTGGTAACTGAAATACCCTGACTCATTTAATACACTGAACGAAATAAACAATACTTCCAATTCGTATGGGAGGACGATAACCAAACTTACCGCAAAATATAAATTTCGATGGAGGCGACACTGCAAAAGCCATGGACACTAACGGAATCGACGAACTATGGAAAGAAATTATGTCCGTTCGTAGGGATGGAATCAACATCTCCATACTTAATCTTCAAGCAGATGACGTCAATATATTATTCCTCTGATATGAGAATGGTGCGCGAATTCCACTGACGTTGCGCGCAGATCAGGACTTAGCTGTCGTCGCCGATTAGAGTCCAACTCTGTCCTCTTCATATGCTTCAAGTTGCTCTTGAAGACCATGTTCATCTTCAGCAGTGGAGAACGGTGGTATGTCACCATTACCATGAAATGCTATTCAGATGAGCTAAGCAATATGTTCACTGATATCTTTAACCAGTGCCTGAATAGCGGTGTCGTTCCACGCTGATGACGTACGTCGAGGGTGCTTCAGAACTAAGAGTAACAATCCAGATACAGCAAAAAAACTCAGAACGATTACGTCTACTTTCGCTGCCTTGAAAGGATTCGAACTTTTGTTTCTACTACTCATTTCTGTTCCACTCAAGCCATCTCAAGATTCCAATATGGTTTCATAACCGGAAGAAGTACCATCGATGTAACTGCGTGTTTTGTGCAACGCTTAGCTGTGCAACTGAACAGGGACCAATGAAAAATCAACGCCAGATTCCTTACATTTTCATCGGCAAATGACACCTGCCAGAGGGATGAGTAACTCTACTCCATTTCCGATATTGGGCTTAACAGCTACGTTCTACAAACCATTGCGGCGTACTGTCTGACTGCTTTAACAGCACAAACTCACAACAGCTGAGACAACAATCCCGGCGTACCAGATCTCTTTTCCAACTACTTTTAACGCTGCACACCAACAACTTGAGACTTGAACTACCGCTTATGTGCTTTACATATGCTGACGACAGCATCGTCCCTGCAGTTTCCAGAAACCGCGATCTTGAAGAAAAAAGGAGTGGAACGAAAAAAAACTGTTACACTGATGGAACTCACACGAATTTATCCTTAACATGAGCAAATGTTGAGTATCTTAATTCCTTTAAACACTGGGAACTACGACTACGTCAACCTTGCTAGAGAAAAAACTAATTCAGACATCGCTTACCCGGGTAAAATGTTAAGTGCTTTTGTATTGTCGTCAATGACAGGCGAATATGATATGATAATGTAATTTACGTCATCAAGGTGAGGAAAGCTAACATCTCCATCGTTTACGCGTATTCGAACTCCTTTTGATTTGCACTGACAGTTTACACCGCATTGTACAAAGCCAATTACCACTCATTTTTGAGACTTAACAGAAAGTGATTTTGCACTCCTGCACGGCGATGTATTAAAGGAGTTATGAGACCTGAACGGCTGCAATACGATCTCGCGGCTAAGATCGACGTGTAAGCCCATTATAAGAGTTCGGTCTTCTTCAGTGAACGGAAACTGGACGTAACCAACGACCCATTTCACACATTTAACATGCTTTTATACGCCGATTTCCGTTATACAAGCAAACTTCATCAACCTGACAAAGATGTGCAAAAAATATATCGTTCCGCGCATATTTCCAGCATTCATTAATCTTTCTGTCCTAACGTGTCGTCCTTTGCCTTCTTTAGGAATTACATAATAAATGCCTTTCTTTTATACGCTGTATATATGCGGGTGTTTAAAATAACAAGCACCTGCATAGCATTAATAAATACTGAATAGTGAAAACACACATAGTCCAACGTTTAAAAATATGTAAATTTGCTACAATACACTGGAAAGAAAGAATTTTAAAGGGGTAACTACAGTTAACTCTGGGATAGGACTAAAACGAAGGAAATTAGAGTTAATTTAATATCTTATATCCGTTTTCTGAAGTTAGACAAATTTTCATATAGTCTGAAAAAAACTGACTAGTAGTGCAATAACTAAGTTCTGTTAAGATAGGCAAAAACAGCTCTGATGTGTTTTAAGGCAGCTATTGCAAATGACTCTTTTTTAATTACGCAGAGAATTATTACATTTCAATTCCAAGTTTAAGATTTAATTGGCGTAAGCGCACCGTCCACTTGCTTCAAGACGTCTCGAGTGCATTTAAACGGCGACACCCCATGATATCTGAGCATCTGCAGTGTGTTAAATGCCAGACCGCACCTGTGAGACAGACAAGAGCGCTTACGAGTGCATCTACTGTTTTGTAGGAGATGAAACCATGGAGAAGAGGATTGTCTAATGCTCCCCTTAAGCGCATAGAAGCAAATTGTGGTGCACTTATGTCAGTTAAATATGGGATTCGGAATTGAAGTGCAAATGCTCTAAATTACATTCATTTCATAATATTTCAATTTCAATCATATTAACAAAAAGAGTGATGGCCACAGAAAGGGATTTAAATATCTGTTAGGGATAAAAACGACGCTATGTGATTCCAGCTACAAGGAACTGATAGAGGTAAAGTCTTTATGAATACTGTCGACGTTTCAGTGAAACTACATTGGCCATCCTAAAGTCAAACAGTCTCATGTCTAACAAAGCGATGAATGTTTGCCCTGATGGTGGTTAATGCAGCGTGACAAAAACGTCGCCAGTTATAATAAAAACTACCACCTGCTCACGCCTTGAGTCTAGAACCATTTATGGATAATTCTTACTAAAGGACATAGAAAACTGAAACAAATTTGAGAAATTTTTGTCAGAGTTACGATTTTATAACCCGAAAGCGGTAACGAATTTGGAACATTATTTAGAGTACAGCATAAAGAAAACATAAAACCCTTAGCTGCATTTGAGGTGGAGTGAACAATACCTGAGAACTGAGATAATCTGACGTCAACATGCATTTGCTGATCACTATTTTACAAGCACGATAAAGCAAGAAACAGTCCTTTATGAAACAGTGGTCCAGCATTTCGACCAAACTGAAACGATGGATCATCATCATTCTATGCCAGTTTCTGTCGAAACGTCATATCGCCGTTAAATGAACAACGATTTCTTGTTCTTTATGATGATAATTATGAAATCGGAAGATACATCAGCTTGAAGCGGTTAATTTCGCAATCAGTAGGAGTCTGAAAGCAATACTGACACACTGAATTATTTCAGTGTAACAAAAGAACTTGCAACATGTTAGGAACAAAGTAGAAGTTTAAAGTCGAGAGAAGAAAAGCTGTCTCGTAGTTACAATATGACACAACTGATTTGTAGCAATGTAACACTGGCAGGACAATCACTGAACACTGTTTTGCTTGAAAAAAATACCAAAACAACAACGAACTTTTCTCATTAAGACGGAAGTTCAAAGAAACAAGCTCAGCAGAAGTCACCTTGCTGAAAGGCAAGTTG